AATGAGCAAACGGGGAGCGAGGTTGTCTTGACCACTCGGGGCTGTGCTGCCTCTAAACGAACACTGCGGCAGTAACACCCTTCTTTCGTATGCGGAGGTGTGTTACCTCTCTTCTTGAGAATCAAAACGTCCGATAAGGCCGAATAGGCTAGGTGCGGACGTTAAAGATCCTCATTGTCCTTTTTAGGATGACCGAGTATACGGGAAGCAATGTCTCTCCCTACGTCAGCAAGTGTTTATTTAACAACTTTAATACTTTGCGTGTTATTGTTTATTTTAATACTCTTTACCTAACTTTTAGAGACAGTTTTGATAATTTGAAACATGTATAGATTAAACAAAACCTCTTGTAATGCTATTTCTCATTCCAGCTACTATCCCAACAACCATTCCTTTCATCCCAGTGCTCCACGTAGGCCATAACCCTCGCGATAATGATTATTGAGAAAAGAGGAATATAAATTCATATTTCATATACAGACTGCCTAAGCGCCGTTCATAAACTCAGGAAAAGAGCCTCCGCAGACTCATAATCAAAATATTTATGAACGCTGAGGAGGATGATCAATTTTAGTGAAAGGAGATCTTGGTGTTGGTTCCCAGACACATAGGTAAAACGGCAGATAAGGCCGCAAATTTAGCAACGACGAGACCACACGATTAGCCTTGGACTGCGGTGGCTGGGTTTAGAAGAGATGACCAGTCCACCGTACGTACCAGGTTGCGTGTAGGCCAAACCAGGATGACAAATGTATACCTTCTAAAATGGCGTGAGATCATGTGCACGATGTGTTGGAAAATTGTTATTGAAAAGCAAATAAGGACGAATTGTAGAGAATTAGGTGTGTAAAGTAAAGAAACATTTCGCATAAACTATGCACGACAACCGGAGTCGTGGGAAGCCCAATACAACAGGTATATATAATATTTTACACTTTATATAGATCTTCGTGTCAATTGTTAATTGGAACTAAGGTATTTATTAGAGATAACGGAGTGGTCGAAATCATCTGTCCTCAAGGAATACCGAGTGCTCGAGCACGAATGAATGAGATATGTGAGATATGTCTGTATTTACTTTCTTGTATAGAAAGCCTAAATAATAAACCATTCTTATCTGTATCAAGTACTGAGTGAATATATAGACTCCAAGGAATATCGAATATCTGAGGCATTGTAAATGAAGTCTTTTGTTTGTGAATGTTATTAGCGAGAATAGAACGGCTCTTTCCACGATTAACACGAGGAATTTCGAGTAGTGTGCAGAAATATTAATACTAACAAGATTAACTTTTTTTTAAATATACATATTTTTATTGCTTTTTAAAATTAGGCTGCTTGGATTACTTTTATTCTAGACTTAAGAGGCTCTGCCGTTGAAAGAATCTGGTAACACGTTAGAGCAACGTGAATGCCGGATAACTTTGACACTGCTTGAAAAGCGTGAAATAAAATTTGGATGCACCTGCAGAATAATAAGAAAAAAACAGCAAAGAAGAAAAAGGCTGACGATGTAGTATACCGCCCTTTAAAATTATCCACAATAAAATAATAACTGTAAGGTAAAGGTTCCGAGTTCGAATCCAAAACGTACATAGTACAAATAGGCTTTTTTCAAAAACACTGGCACCCAGGGGTTGATACGACCTTTGCCGTTGCAAACCCTCGTAAAAATATTAATGAATAAAATACGTTTTATATAATTGCGCATTCTCATGAAAATATGTTTTTTATATTAAAAAAGGTGAAATTAATTAATGGTTTTTTGTGTAGTAACAGTGGAAACCCTCCGTGCATCGTTTGAAATGCTAATTTAGTATCTACCCTTTTGCAAAAAAAAATTATTTAATAAAATCATATTATAGTTTCATTTGGCCAGATTTTCAGCTTGTTAGTTTCAAGTTAACAAAACTTCATCGTCGTATCAAGCCGTCGTAGGTTAATTAGATTTATAATTCATTTCTGACGCCTTACGGGAAAATTGAATACCTGGTTAAAAACCAATTCCCCAGTAAGTCAAACTTAATTCCAGAGACATCAAAGCATGCAACCACGAGTATTGGATTAACTATACTCCGGGCCAGTGATTAGTTCTATTTTAGTTAAATTCTGTAGGAAACATATTAACGTTATAATATTTTAATAGATTTTTCGATGGAGGAATAAAACAAAAATCATTTCTAATTCTATTTGCAGTCATGCTTGCGAACATATTTTCCATATCTTTGAAAAAATATTTCCCTGAAACTATGACACGTATACATACCTTGATGAATCTGTTGCCACATTAGACATCATCAGCTACAACCATATACTAAAAGACAGTAAATCAACACGAAAACAACAACAATATAAATTGGTTAGGCCTCACAATCATTAAAACTGCCAATTAACTTAGACCACAGGGGGAAATTTCACCATCGAATAACCTTTACTTAAAATGCAGAACGACACAATTTGCAAAAAGAAAGAGAGGTTATAGGTTGTCTGCAATCCTCTGTTTTGTCGGTTTTTGTACGATTTTTGACATAAACCACTTATTAATAAATGGCAAAAGCTTTCGTCTTTTTCACTGCCGTCTCTTGAACTTTTTTTTCGCGTTTCCGTCCGAAACATCCGCGCCCATTGCATATTTCACTAGTCTTGACTTGATTCTGAGATATTAATGATGAGACGCTTCTTGTTAAAAGTTCCCCCCTAGGAATGTGTCTTGAATAAATGATAAGACAATATTCGGACTCTCTTCCTTCCCTTCTTTTTTTTGTAATCGATGTTATTAAACGCATAAAATAACATGGAAAAATCCGTGTACTCCTTGATAGTGCAATTTGAATGTTATATAGTTTTTCCAAATGAGTCATTACTTAAAAGATCAAAGACAACACATGTATAAGATATTTTAATATACATATCTTCAAAATAAAAGTATTAACCATACCCAAAAAGTTTTTTTTTAAACTTTTTAACACGGATTAACATCCCGCGCACATTGGAACTGATAGTCCAACATAGTTAGTAGTCTTGCAATTTGTTATTTGATTAAGCAAAGTGGAACTCATTTTAAGGAAAATGATAACGGCCGGATTCAATTTAACTAAAAGGATCTTTATTTGCCTTGCTAAAAATTGCGATGAGATTCTTCGCTCGACCTGCTCGTTTACCAGGTAAATGGAATGTCCTTTAGAGCCGTGGCTCCATAACATGTCAGAAAAGAATTGTCCGTCGTATTGTACCTCATAAATTATTCATAATTGTGGTCCAACTTCTAATAAAAACTCTTTTCAATTGTAGCAATATTATAAACAATTTTTCTCCGTCCAAGTTTTTACGATGTCAATATAAAATTCTCAATACAAAAAATTAAAAGCTTCCTTTAACCTTAATACTTAAGTGTGAGGTGTTTAGTGACAGTTATTTAATGATTATTCGGAGGTCGTGAGATGCTGTCTGTGTGGCGTAGGTTTTATAAAAACATTTTCTTTATAAAGCCAATGTTTCAATCTTTATTGAGATCAACTCCAGACCTGGGATTTATAAACATGGTTTTAATTTTACAAATACATGTAGGATGTGCAAAAAATGAATTTATACTATGCTAAACAAATTTAGATTAAAAAAATTGAATTTATACAATGCTAGAAAATTTTAGATTAAAATGAATTTATGTACCGGTAGAAAATTTTAGATAAAAGAATGAATTTATACAATGCTAGAAAATTTTTTAGATAAAAAAATGAATTTATACGATAGAAAATTTTGTTAGATAAAAAAATGAATGTATTCAATGCTAGAAAATGCTAGATTAAAAACATGAATTTATACAATGCTAGAAAAATTTTTAGATAAAAAATGAATTTATACAATAATAGAAAATTTTGTTAAATAAAAAAATGAATGTATACAATGCTATAAAATTTTAGATTGAAAAAATTGAATTTATGCAATGCTAGAAAATTTTAGATTAAAAAAATGAATTTATACAATGCTAGAAAATTTTAGATTAAAAAAATGAATTTATACAATGCTATAAAATTTTAGATTAAAAAAATGAATTTATACAATGCTAGAAATTGTTTTTAGATAAAAAAATTAATTTATACAATGCTAGAAAATTTTGTTAGGTAAAAATATGAATTTATCCAATGCTAGAAAATTTTAGATTAAAAAATTGAATTTATTTAATTTTAGAAAATTTTAGACTAAAAAATCGAATTTATACAATACTAGAAAATGTTTGATTTAAAAAAATGAATTTATACAATGTTAGAAAATTTTTTAGATAAAAAAAATAAATTTATACAATGATATAAAATTTTGTGAGATAAAAAAATGAATGTACACAATGGTAGAAAATGTTAGATTAAAAAAATGAATTTATACAATGTTAGAAAATTTTAGATTCAAAAAGTATACAATGCTAGAAAATTTTAGATTAAATAAATGAATTTGTACAATGGTAGAAAATTTTAGATTAAAAAAATGAATTTGTACAATGCTAGAAATTGTTTTTAGATTAAAAAAAATGAATTTATAGAAAATTTTGTTAGGTAAAAAAATGAATTCTACAATGCTAGAAAACTTTAGATTAAAAAAATGAATTTATATAATGCTAGACAATTTTAGTTTCAATCACAGTATTTGTACTCACTCAGTGTTTGTTTTCAGGATGTGATTTGTATAAATTCAAATTTTTTTAATGTAAAATTTTCTAGCATTGTATAATTTCAATGTATTTGTAAAATTTAGGCAATGTTTATAAATCCCAGGCCTTGAAGATGATCTCAATAAAAATCGAAAGTTGCACGATAAAGAAAATATTTTCTAATTTTTTTTCTAATTTTTCTAATCTGTTTTTTCTTTCACACCAGACCGCAACTCATGATCTCCCAATAATACTTAATACTTAAACCTACATTAATCCCGATGATTATTATATAAACTCAATAAGCAAACTAAAAAATTGATTGATATATTACCTAATTATTTTTCTCATTTTTCAGGTGGTGGAGTAACTTGTTATACTTGCGTGAACGTATCCGATAATCTGATGTGCAATCAGTACGCTATAGACAGCCCCTGTCCCGAAGGTAATTTTTTTAAAGACTCATTGTTTTAAATTAATAATTTAAATCATTTTATTTAAAAACGTTCAATGCCATAACCGGTTAAAAGCCCAATTCTCTTGGGCTTTAGACGTTCAGGATTTGCTTTGTTAAATCGCGTGTTAAAGGTTGCACAAAACCAGTGAATTGGAAGACCGCCGGTAGAATAAGTATTTCTTCGGGATGTAATTATATTATAATGATGTAATTATATTTGTTAAAAATATTTAAAACTCCGTGTCATCCAAGTATTTACCAAAACTCCTGATATCACAGGCGGATCTTTTTTAAATTCATGATTGGCCCCCTTTAATCATCCAAAAAGATAAATCTCCGAATAAAAGGATTGCTCTGATTTCCGGCTAACCGGTGTCAATTGTTCTGGCAAGATCCCAAAGCGATACCAGGGTTTTCTATTTTATTAGGTTACAGTTGGAACCTTGGAGAACAGTTCAATATTACCTCGGAGATAAAGAGTTGAAATAACAATTAAGATTCGGTTGAAGAGCTTCTCTTTTTCTGTTTTTTTTTTTTTTCTTCCTGTTTTTAAGTAACGCCCAAATGCTGTAGCCAAAGTTGTCTTGTTATATGTTGTTACATTTTAACTAAATTAAAATGTTCAAAATCTTCTCAAAAGCACTTTCGAAGGAAAAAAATGACAATTTGCTAATCATCGTCCCAGCAATTAAATTTAATAAATCAACATACTATTGAATAATTTAATGAGGCATATCTCAAGGGTACTTTTTTTTTCTGTATAAAAATCACTCAGATTTATATAAATTTAAAAAACTGTTATTTGCAAAAATAATTAGTAATTATTACATTTTTTGCGTTATATTATTTAGCAGTGCAGTAAAACATCGTTCAAACTATGATAATTGCTAGGTGTTTAAACTTCCCATGAGCAAGAAACCTTAATTAAATCGATTCTCATTTTTTTGCATTGTATAAATTTTGTAAATATATAGATTGTCTTATTTTAATTTTTAAAATATTTATTTCGCTTGTCTTTTATTTTTAATTTCAAATAGGTAGAAAAATATTCTAAGAAAATCCTCAAGAAAAAACCTCCTCCAACGTTCTTGCCAACAGGTGGTAGGAACAGGAAAAAATAATAAGTGAAGTAATTTAAGGTTGTTATGTTTCAGGGTTTTTTTCTTTTTTAGAGGAAGGTATTTCAACTACGAGGTTGTATAAAAACTCGGGAAGTGGGTTTGATTGTAAAAAAAAAAAAATCACAATTGTATATGTATGTATGTCGGATTCGAATGCTGGACCGCTGTATTCGAACCCGGTACCTTAACCTTGCAGTGATGAGCGCCTTTTCAACGCCTAAACCGACGCCCCTATCAGTTATTACCTAGCATAACAAAATACTATTGTAATAAATGAAATTAGATGTTTAAAAATTTATAATGACGAAATGATCTCTTGTGAAGTAGTATTAGCAGAGGGCAATTTTTATCTGTGGTGTCCTGTTGTTCCACTTCCCTCTGAATTTATGCAAATTCAACGTTAAGACGGCCATTAAAAATTTAGAGTTTCAGCCTTTATCAAGAAATTTGGATATTCTAACAATATTTATGTAATTATTCGGAGATAGTGAGATGCGGTCTGGTGTGATGTAGATTTTAGAAAAATATTTTCTTTATCGTGCAAACGTTTCGATCTTTATTGAGATCATCTTCAGGGCCTGGGATTTACAAACATTGGTTACATTTTAACAAATACATGTAGGATGTGGAAAAAAGTGAATTTATACAATGCAAAAAAATATTTTTTATATTCAATCAATGTATTTCTAATAATCACCACACATTATTTATGTAATATATATAATTTCCAACATCTATTATACGGATGTGACATTACAGTTTAGTTTATAAAGGTCTATAAAGGTCGTTATGTGGTTTCGAAGTTATCATTTTCGTGATTTTCGAAAGAAATGGGGAGAAATGTTGAGGGAAAATATATGTTTTTCCGAAAATTTGTAAATAGGGAGTGTAAAACAATATCTCCTTTTTTGCGAGAAAAAAAATATTTCAACCTGTTTTGCTAACTCGCTCAATCATTAGGTAAAAATTGATTTTGGCAGCAAGCCACACCATGAGTATCTTATATATTGAAATACATAACTTGTGACCAAACGACGTAGCAAAGACTGGAAATGTCTTTTGGTTATTGTAACGATTTGTTTACAATATTATTTTATTTTCCCTCGAACAGGTGTTTAATATTTTTCGACCCAGTATGCTTAAAAAGTAAAGGTGCAAAATGAATGCAAGTAATTGAAATTGTAATGATTATTTGGAGATCGTGAGATGCAGTCTGGTGTGACGTAGATTTTAGAAAAACATTTTCTTTATCGTGCCATGTTTCGACCGTTATTGAGACCATCTTCAGAGAGAGATTTATAAACATTGTTTTATTTTTAAAAATACATGTACGATGTCCACATGTTATGTAAATTTTTTTACAACGCTAGAAAAATTTAAGTTCAATCAAAGTATTTGTACTCACTCAAAGTGTTTGTTTTCAGGTAGATGTGTCATTCTTGTTTGTCGTGTTGAGAGTGCCAGTGAGATATTGTTGTTTTATGTTTATATATGTTGGATTTTGATGAAGTTGTGAAGGAAGTCGGGATAGTTATACATTTTTATATGAGGAAATATTTTATATGAAATTTTAGTGCTATTTTGAACATTAAGCGTTGGCAGACTGGACTGTAAATGTAGTAGGAAGATTCTAACCCACTCCCTCGAGAAAATACGATTTTGTTTTCAATATTCCGATAAAACAGACCCACCAATAGATTTTCTTTACCCATAAATTTTTTATTTGTTGCCGGGGTAGTGCGCTGCTCCTCGTTTCCCGGGTTCCGGTTTTGCGCTGCTGGTATCACCATTCCACCAATACCAATACTAGGGTCATGGGTAATGGGGACTTCCCAAACAAAAAAAAAACAAAAAACTCATCAAAATTAGTTTTTTTTTTAAATATATTAAATATAAGTTAAGCTATCAAAGAATAAGACAGATTCTGAATAACCCATTCAGACTAAATGACAGCCGTTTTCATATTTTTTTATTTTATTCATATGTTTTAGGCAATGAACTTTTCGTTTTCGATGCCACTTGTTTTTACCAGTTTTCCTTAATCTATTCTTATTAAATTTTTACATATTTTTACAATATTATAGCCAATAATACTATGAAAATAAACGACAATATATATTAATAAATCATGGAACACTTTCAGTCACCCATCTCAACCTATTGAGTGGCTCCCCCATTTATATTATTTAAATATCTTATATGGACTGCCTCTATTTGAAAACGTTCACATTACTATTCCTAATAAATATCCCACTTTTGGAATAAGCCTGAAATCCATTACATTCACTAGCTTACATAAAACACTTATACACACATATATACAGGGTGAATTGCTACTCGTGCTACAATCTTCTCCAGTAGATTCTTCACCCTAAAATGAACAAAAAAGTTCATATTGTCCATGGTNATATAAATATATATATTTGTTTATCAATCAAAATGGATCCTTAACGAGTTCAAAATCTGGTGGAACAATACCACAGCCACGATGCGAAGAGATTCATGGGCCAACGGCCTCACTCACAACTCACAAAAAATTACTGGAAGGCAACCGCTGCTGAACCGGGATTCCGGTTGGTCTCCTGACAGGACACTGCCACTTAAGAAACCCATGCACTGGATTGGAGTACAGATAGAAGAAACACTGTGCAGATACTGCCAGGAAGAGGAAGAAACCGCAGAACATATTTTATGTTTCTGTGAAGGTCTACGTAGTTGCATGTTTTTACAACTAGGACAGGAAAGATCCTATACTAAGGAGCCACTGGCAAAGTTGGAGGCTAATTAACTATCTGAAGCTGGCCAGCGAGTTATAAAACAGGGGAGCACATTAGATCTATTCAGTTCGAGTTGCAGAAGGCATTGTGTAAACCTCTTTTATCCGTATCCCTAACCCTATCCTATGTTGGAGCAGAGGATTTGATATTACGCTGCCCCTTTGGATTGTAAATGTACAAAATAATAATTTATACAATATAAATGTACAATCTATTCACTAATTACACAAGTATGATCACATTCTCGTTAAGAAATACATTTTCCCAGTATCACTATAAGTTTTAAACAATGAAGAATTTCCAAAACTCACTAAGCTATGAGAAAATCTTCTTCTAAAGATTGGCGAATTTGAAGATTTTGAATGGTATGCTTGGGAGGATTCTTCACTCTTTTTCCGATGAGCATGGTTAGATGAAGTGCACTATGGGAAAATCAAGGTTTTAAGCAAATACTAATATTAATCTGACATGACCGTTTTTGTTTTTTTATTAAAGGAATAATTTACAACTATTCCTTTACCTCTTTACAAAAGAGGTACAAACAAATGAAAATTACTGAATAGAATGTTGTTTTATTATCAGAAATATAATGATTTTTAAGGAACTAACAGTCTAGAGTTGTTACAACAAAAGTATTATGTATAATGTAAATGCATCTCAAAAGCTGCGAAAATTTATACGTTTCGATGTGACAGTGAAAGAAAGGAGACACTGCTTGAGGATTAAAGAAATTTCATTGAGAACTTGATGTACCCCGAGTGAGATTCATTAATCTGCTTTAGGAGAAATTTTTTATTTTGTTTGTTTATTAAAAAGTCAATATTTATTACAATTTGATTCTGTACTATTCAACGTGATTTAATAAAAATATTATTAACAATAAAAATTAAATTTCCCCATCGCTCAATATTTGTTTTCAATCTTAATGTATAATTCTTTGCTAAATAAACTACATTAATAAAAAACATGTATTTTAGCGTATAGAAATGTGTGGTGTAGGTTTAGAAAAATATTTTCTTTATTGTGCCAACGTTTCGATCTTTATTGAGATCATCTTCAGTGCCTGGGGTTAATAAACAATGTGTACATT